TGTGGGCGTGTGTGTGTTGAGGGGGAGGAGGAGGAGGGGGAGGGGGATTGTGGGCGGGTGTTTGTGTGTGTGGGGGGTGGGGGAGGAGGGGGGGAGGGGGAGGGGGATGTGGTGTGTGTGTGGGGGGGGGGTAGAATGTAGTTCCACTGGTAGATCTGTAGTATTTGTTTGATGGGTTGTTTTATCACCCCTCCCTTTCTCTGTCATGTATTTTCTCTCATTCTCTGTCTGTGTCTCTGTCTGTCTCTCTCTCTCAATTTCTCTCTAATGTATGCTCTCTCTCTCTCTCTCTCTCTCTCTCTCTCTCTCTCTCTCTCTCTCTCTCTCTCTCTCTCTCTCTCTCTCTCTCTCTCTCTCTCTCACACACACACACACACACACATGTATTCTCTCTCTCTTTCTCTCTCTCTCTCTCATTAATCTTAAAAGCTGTAAACCAAGAACTAGAAATTTAGGCCCTTTTCTCGATACACTTATTTTCATAATTAATTCCGTGTCTCATCTTTATACATCAGAGGTTTCATATTTATTCATTTATTCAACAAAAATGTAAATGAGATGTAGGGCATGATTAAGAACTCAAAATACGACATGCGTAGAGACCGAGAAATATATTTTCCTCGGTTCATACATTTTTTTCTTTTTCTTTTTTTTAATCTTCTCTAATTTCATACGCCGTGAAATAACATCTTAGTCTCCCCTGGAAGACAAAGTACCTGGGGGAAAGACAAGCGAATTCGGACCTTAAGTTCATCCTAATTTAAATTCTTTGTCGAGAATGTTTATCTAGAGTTGGAATAGAGAAAGAATGAAAATGAATGAATGAAAGAAAGTAAGAAGAAAAAACAACAAAAAAGGAGAGAGAAATGCCGTTATTTAGAGAAAGAATGAAAATGAATGAATAAAAGAAAGTAAGAAGAAAAAACAACAAAAAAGGAGAAATAGATAAATTCCCATACTTAGAGAAAGGATGAAAAGGAATTAATGAATGAAAATGAGAAGGAAAAGAAGAAAAAGAGAGAGAACTCGCCAGCTATGATATATCTTCAGAATAGATCTATAAGATTTCCAAGCGTCTAGGCTCGAATCCAAGCATAGAATAACCTCATTATCCACAGAGGATATCGCAAGGAAAATTTCCACCTGCAGTATCATTCTTAAACCCCCCCCCCACCTTTAAAAAAAAAAAAAAAAAAAAAAAATCATGGCATTACATCTCATGCTTGAGCGAACGTGGAATCCTGGGAAAGCGTGCAGGTGCTTTCCTTTGCCCAGACAACCCTGTCTGACTCTGCTGTCTCTGTTTCTGTCTTTCTTCTCTCTGTCCTTTGCTCTGTCTGTCTGTCTGTTTCTCGCTGTCTCTGTGTTTGTGTCTGTTTCTTTTTGGGGCTATCTTGGTCTCTTTCGTTTCTTTCTCTTCCTTCCTCTTCTCTCTCTCTCTCTCTCTCCTCTCTCTCTCTCTCTTCTCTCTCTCTCTCTCTCTCTCTCTCTCTCTCTCTCTCTCTCTCTCTCTCTCTCTCTCTCTCCTCTCTCTCCTATATATATATATATATATATATATATATATATATATTATATATATATATATATATATATCCCCCCCCTCTCTCTATCTCTATCCTCTCTCCTCTCTCTATCCTCTCCCTCTCTCTCTCTCTCTCTCTCTCTCTCTCTCTCTCTCTCTCTCTCTCTTCTCTCTTTCTCTCTCTCTCTCTCTCTCTCTCTCTCTCTCTCTCTCTCTCTCTCTCTCTCTCTCTCTCTCTCTTCTCTCTCTCTCTCTCTCTCTCTCTCTCTCTCTCTCTCTCTCTCTCTCTCTCTCTCTCTCTTCCTCTTCATTTCGTGCTTGCCTCCTCATTTTGCTTGCTTGCCCATTCCACCTCCTCCAAAATCCCTCCGTGTCTCCATGCTGGTTCGTATATTATTCAATGAAAAAATAATTATGTTGCTTCCTTTATGTTACATCTTAACACTTTTATCTTATCTTTCGTACCATGCAATCGTCAAGTATTTTTGAGTCATCGTTTTATGACGTTTCTTCTCCCTCTCTATGTCTCTCATGTTGTTTTACAGTTCCCTTTATCGTGCACTAAAATGGCTACAACTTTATTTATTTTTTTCTATCAGCTCGACCCTCTTATCCACTCTCTCGAACCTAAAATCTTCGTCACGCAAGACCTCATATAATGGTTTCATCATATTGATTTTCCTTTTTTTTCTTTTAGACTTTTTTTGTGTATTTTCCCTTTTCTTTTTGGTGAAGCTGCTCCCTGAGAAATGTATTCTCTCCACGCATTAAACCTACACCCTGTTTGGTTTAGCTGAAGGCATCATATGTTGCCGCGCATATTAATTCATCAAAGCCGGGGTTCATACATCACGCCAACATACCTGCATCAGACATTATCATTAACGCCGTTTCTTCATCATGTTCGTCACTCCCCTTTCCTCCCCAAACACCCAAGCCCTCTCTCACTCCTTCCCCTCACCCGTTAACATATCCATCATACTCGCACCCCAGTATGATGGATGCCATACCCAGACCCACGCCGCTATGCTGGGCTATACACATTCATCATGATAGGGTCTGTTTTTTTTTTTTTTTTTTTTTTTTTTTATCATGCCGCGATGCTACAGA